CACACGAAATTTTCATTTCTTCACTCCTATACAAGTTTCTCAAAGGTTCTAAGGCCATATCTCACCATTTTCTCTCATACTAAACCCTCCTGAACTTATATTTCTCTTTAGATCTGTGATTCTACGTCCGTTCTAAAAGATTTCAAGTAAGTTTCTCTAAGTTTGAAGTTAGATTTACTGTTCGTTTCTCTTCTTCTTCTTTTTCTCATAGATGTTCATGATGTTCTTAGGAAAAACTCTGTTCTAAAGTTAAATCTTTGTAAAACCTTTGTTTTGAGGTAAGGGGGGCTCTACTTTATCATTTTGTTATGTTTATTACTTGTATTCTCATAGATCTTGTCATGTATGTGATTATATGTGAAATAATCCTTGTCTTATGAAAAATAATCGGTGAAAAGTGAGAATAATTGGTTGTTATGTGATTTTATGATGAATACATGGTGAAAATATAATATTATGTTCAAATAGTGCATGATAGGGTATATTGAGGATGATTGATATGATTTTATGATTTTGTGATATGAAATATGCGAAGAGATGGATGTTTCATGTTTGAATATATTGTGTTTCATGTAAAAATGATGTGTATTGTGAATATGTCATGGTTTGATGTATGCGATGAAAAGTATGTAGAAATATAATGAAAAACATATGTGAACATGAGAAATGGCATATGTGAACATGTGAATATACTTGAAAGAGTATGAGATGGAAAAAGATATGATGTAAATAGTTGCAGAGATACACTGGGAGAGTGAAAGATGGAGACAATATGAGATATCTTAGAAAAATGCAGGGTAGTGAGTGACATTCGGGATTGTGTACGAATGCACCATATGGTTGCACACTCATTTTCCAACTTGACTTTTGACCATTACCTTTGCTAAGAGGCTGTCTATTGCATGCATTGTATCTGTATTACATTGGGCCACCCGACAACTATTTACATGGATGTGTAAGACCCTGAGATAGAGGCATCAGATAACTATGGCCATAGGGCGCGGTAAGCGCGGATAAAAGAAAGAAAAAGAAATTGTGAATCTGTAAAATATAATATGTGTTGAGATGAGAACATGCTTTATATGACACTGTGATATGTAATGCCATGATGTTTTCTTTAATTGTGATAAGATGTGTTTTGTGATGAATATATGTTATGTATGAGTGGTAGGGTAGAGACTCACCCTTATACAACACTTTTAGGAAATCAGGACGAATAGTACCAGGCTCACAGTGGATGGATGGATGAGAATTGCTATAGGACTTAGTTATTTTGAGTTATGTAATGGATATTTTCAGTTTTATAGCATTCTTTTGAAACAGTTGTAAAACTACTATTTCTTTTTGTTGCTGATGAAAATTTTAAAATCTTTGTTTTTCTAAAGTACTTATGAATTAATGAAATTTTACTCTATGAACCTTATATCATTTCATTGTTTCTTTCTCATTAGAGAGTTTTTGAAAGAAAATTTACTTTACCATTTAAATTTTTATGAAAACTTATCATATATTGAGGAAAGAAATATAAGGCGTTACAATTTTAGTATCAGAGTAGTTCATCCAGAGCAGACTGGAGTATGGGACTAACATGTCTATGTTGTGTAATAGATATACTAGCATATGAAATGATTATTTGCTAATATGACTTGTTAGATGTGAATTACCTAAACTAGATATATCTATGTGTTTGTGAATGATAGATAAGTGATTTGAGTTTATTGCAAGATTAGAGCTATGGCTGGTAGAGGTAGACCTGTTGGTGCTACAAATGAACTCCTGGAGTGCATGACCCAAGTCTTAGAGACTTTGGCACATAACCAGGAGGCTGAACCAGCCGAGTATAGAGGACTTTCTTCTTTTACTAGGCATGACCCTCCAAAATTTGAGGGAAAATTTGATCCTCAGGGAGCTCAAAGGTGGATAGCAGATGTGGAGAAGGTTTTCCATGCCATGGGATGTAGAAAGGAGCATAAGGTAACTTATGCTACTTATATGCTGAGTGGAGAAGCTGAGGACTGGTGGAGATTTGCTAGTCAAACTCTACTGCAAGAATATGGTTATATTCCTTAGGAGACATTCAAGGCAAGCTTCCTAGAAAATTATTTCCCTAGAGATTTAAAGAAATAGAAGGCTAGGGAGTTCCTTGAGTTGAAACAAAGAAACATGTCTATAGGTGAATATGCTGCTAAATTTCATGAATTGATAAAATACTGGTCTCACTATCAACATAATGATGGAGAGGAAGATTTATGTGCTCAGTTTGAGCATGGGTTAAGGCCAAATATTTGAGCTACCGTTAGTGTATTCCAATGGACAGATTTACCTACTCTAGTGAGTAAATACAGAATATTTGAAGTCAATACTAAGGGTAAGACGGTGGATACCAGAATCGGTGGTCCTGTGAGGCAAGACCAAAGGCCTTCAAGATTTTCTAGAGGACCTTACTCTAGTTCAAATCAGTCTCAAGTGAAGGAGACTATATCTCAAGAAGATAGTAGTGGTGGTTTTGGTTCTTTCAGAAGGCCACTAAAATGTTTCAAGTGTGGTGGACCTCATATTAAAAAGAATTGTCCTCAACTTTCCACCAACATGTGACATTTGTGGGAAAATGGGACACTCTGCAAGTGTCTGTTGGTCTGCTCCACAAAAGAGCAGAAGCATGAGTGTGGTACAAAGACCTGAATCTAGAGCAAGCACTGGAATAAAGTCAAATGTGAAAGACAAAGTTTTTACTATGAGTGGAGCTGAGGCTTCAAAATCAGAGCAGCTTATTAGAGGTAAATGTATCATAAAAGACTAACTTTTAGATGTGTTGTTTGATTATGGTGCTACTCATTCTTTTATTTATGTGGATTGTATGAGATGTCTAGAATTACTTGTATCTGAATTGTCTTGTGATGTCAATGAATCTAGACAATTCAAATACAGGTAATTCTAGACAATTCATCTTATACTCTCCCAGTGTATCTCTGTAATTATTTACATCGTATTTTTTTCATCTTATACTCTTTCAAGTATATCCACATGTTCACATATGCTATTTCTCATATTTACACATATTTTTCATTATATTTCCATATACTTTTCATCATATACATCAAACCATGACATATTCATAATACACATCATTTTTACATGAAACACAATATATTCAAACATGAAACATTCATCTCTTCGTATATTTCATATCACAAAATCATAAAATCATATCAATTATCCTCAATATACCCTATCATGCACTATTTGAACATAATATTATATTTTCACCATGTATTCATCATAAAATCACATAAACAACCAATTATTCTCACTTTTCACCGATTATTTTTCATAAGATAAGGATTATTCCACATATAATCACATACATGACAAGATCTATGAGAATACAAGTAATAAACATAACAAAATGATAAAGTAGAGCCCTATCACCTCAAAATAGAGATTTTACAAAGATTTAACCGAAGATTTAACTCTAAAACGAAATTTTTCCTAAGAACACCATGAACATCTATAAGAAAAAGAAGAAGAAGAAGAGAAATGAAGGGTAAATCTAACTTTAAACTTAGAGAAATTTACTTGAAATTCTTTAGAACAGACGTAGAATCACAGATCTGAAGAAAAATCTAAGTTTATGAGGGTTTAGAATGAGAGAAAATGGTGAGATATAGCCTTAGAACCTTTGAGAACCTTGTATAGGAGTGAAGAAATCAAAATTTCGTGTGAAACCCCCTTTTTATAGAAAATTTTTGAAATTTACTTATCACCGCCGGAATTACTGTTCACGCTAAAAACACTGTTCGCGGTCACTATTCACACCAGAAATACTGTGCATGTGTACTGTTCACAGACTATATGCGTATGTGAAGTCAGTGATGACGTCATCAGTCACTGTACATAGACGGTTTTACTGTTGATACGCAGTTTGTACGCGATTTTACTGTTCATAGGCAGTTTTACTGTTCATCGGTACTGTTCATATTTTTTTTAAAAATTTTATCCAAATCTATTCCAATTATACTTTAACAAACCTCATTTTATTTAAATCAAAGTGTAGGATGTTACAGTTGGCAATTACAAGGTGCAATTGGAGCTACCTACTGACTTTGAAGATGATGGAATAAATGTATAGACATCGACGGTAGTGTTAGCTTCTAGGAACATTGTTAAGCATGGAGACAGGGTCAAACAATGGCTTGTGCAGTGGGCTGAGAAATCAGTAGAAGAAGCAACATGGAAAGATATAGTAGTTATCCAAAGCCAATTTTCTCATCTCAATCTTGAGGACAAGATTCATGTTGATGGAGGGAATAACAATAAAGACCAAACAGAAAAAAATGGGCCTAGAGAAAAAGTAATCCATGAAGCTTCAGCCAAGTCCAAGAACTAGATATTATATGTGAGAAAAAGAAAGAAATTAGAAAATATTTAAGATGTGCTGAGTTGACAAAGTTAGTTTAGAGAGAGAATAATTTTTAATATATTAGACATGTTTAGTTGTGAGTAGGAAAACACATTTTTGGACTAAAATTTGTAGGATAGAGTGTCTCTTTAGCTCTCTTAAGAAACTTTTTGCTCTAGAGCATTAGAAAGACCGTTCTTCTTTTGTATAATTTCATTTGTCTTCTATTGCCAATAATAGAAACTTCTTTCATTTTCTCTTAATATTACTGTTTTTACTTCATATCTTTTTCTGTGATTTTTGAGGTCCGTAACAACTAACCCATGTCCTAAGCGCCGGTCAAGGAATCAATATTAAGAAACTTAGAAGTGTACTTTTACGTTTTAAAACAAAACAATTTTATTTTCAATTCTTTAGCTAGTGCTCCGGGTGCTAGTTAACATTTGTCCCAATTTTAATTTTTTTTAACTCTCAGTAATAGCATTTAAACAAGTTTATTTCCTAAAAACAGTTGTTACCAAACACATGATCTACATTCAACCTTCATATTCTTGCGTTCTGTCTAGTTTGTCATTAGAGTCCAAAGTTGAAGAATTATATCAGAAATACTAACCAACTTTAATGGGGTCAAAATGCGTTTCATCTTGCAACCATGTAAGCAGTGAGTGATGGCAAGAGATTGACCTGACCAAGCACCCTTGCCAATTTTTCTTCCCATTTGGATGATAAATTGTATAGATTTTCAACTTTCCCAATTCACATTAAAACAATCCAATGAGATACTATATATTAACAACGTGAGCTTCATACACCATTATGTTGACGTTAAGATTGAACATTCAATCACACCAACCAGAGCTGCAGAAGGCAATTCGCTACTCATCCTCATCCTCAGGGTCAAAATCCTTAACCTTGACATCTGCATCTTCTCCATATTGGATGCAGTTGTCAATTTGGGCCAGTACATATTGTATACTGCAGATGAGAACAATCCAATAATAAGTATAAAACAAAAATGGCTTCATTTTGGAGGTAATGTTGAACAAATGAAACAAAGGACATGAAATGTAGATTTCAATGACTTGTAATACCCCTTTGGAAGATTACTAATACAAAACTACCATGAGACTAGTATGGACTTCGAGATAACTAGGAGAGTAGAAGCTCATTCATGTAGTTTACCCAAGGATTACTCTGGTTATTTAAGAGCAAACTTGATTGATCAAAATTAATGTAAGTGCCAATGTAAGTCATAACTTTACAAATTAATGAATATTAACCCACTTTATAGCCTAGTGAGAATAAATAAAAAATGGGTACTTTCAAGCCCTTCATATGAGGATAAGCACGTGTGCGCACACACTGCACTCAAGGTTAAACAAAATAGTTAAGAATTAATCCCCCTCTCAAAACAATATACCCCAAACCTGTTTGTACTCCTTCCCAGATAATTCTCTATATCATGTAAATCTTCTCTTTCCGTAACTAACCTTCTCTGCACTCACCTGTATCTCATCTAATTGGTGTAAACTGAGGGCCTTCTTGGGCCCATGAACCTTCTGTAGAGGAATTTATCCCATATTACTTTGTTTTATATAGAGGAATTTATGCCTGTTTCAGTTCATACAGTTTAAATTTAATATTTCAGCATCATCAATGGCAAATTCCAAGCCAATCTATGATGCACATCCGCAAGGGTAAAAATATTTTTCTTTTATGCTAAAATTGTAGAATTATTCAAGATATGAATAGGCAGAAAGGATAACCAGGAAAACATAGAGGACTGTACCTTTTCTCCTTCCTCAAGTCCAGTGGTATAAAACTCACCATGCTGTAATTATTCACCTGTTGCAGAAGGAATGAATCAATACATAAATAAGTATACAGGTGCAACCAAAACAAAGTGTTGCAGAGTTTAATCAACATTGCTAATGAGAGAAGAATCAGGAGTGACTGTGAAAACAGAAGTGATATGGGAATGACTTGAACAGAACCTACATTCACTTCTCAATTATTTTAAAAGAGCGACACAAAGGAATGCAACTTATATATATATATATATATATATATATATATATATATATATATTAAAGAGGTGATCAATTGGTGCAGAGTGACTAAAGGTGAAGAGCATCATGGATATTATAGCACAATGGGGTTAGTTGGGTGGATGCTTGTTATTTTAGTCAAAAAGGAAATTGTATTGGCAAAACTAGAAATACATTTTTTTCTTGAAAAATGGCCTATGTGAAGATCACAGATATGAACACACTCGGCCAAAATATCATACAAAAAGAAATGTCTCCCCTGTAAACTTACCTAGAATGCAATCAACATTCATGCCTGCTATGCATAACCCTAGTATTATTGTGATTTTTAAAAATAAGAATCAACTCAAATACATATCAGACCATCATCAATGCAAATCAACTACAAGTCTATGACAATTCTAGTAAAATTGTGGCCTAAATTAGTTTTAGGTCCCCATAAAAGTTGTTTGGAATTAGTTCCTAAAAACGTTTTTGTTAAGATTTAGTCCTTAAAAAATTGAGTGAGTATAAGATTAGTCCATACTTTTAAATTCCATATATTAAGTGCTGAGTTGGATAACATAATTCCAATATGGCATTGTCAAGTGCCAGACTCTTACCTAATCAACAGGCAGTTTTTAACAATAATTTAAAATAAAGGTTCAAATGAATTTTTGGTCTCTTTAAAAGTTGCTGCATTTAAGGCTAAGGAGCTTGATAATACAGGTTTCAAACTTTGATCTCTTTAAAAGTTGTCAAGAAAATTTTAGATAAATCTAGTGGTTTTGGAGCAAAAGACAAGGAATCATGGTGGTGGAATGAAAGTGTACAAGAAAAGATTAGAGAGATGAGGATGTGTTTTAAACCTTTGTATACATGTAGTAATGCTGAAAATTAGATAAGGTATCAAAATGCAAGAAACGAGACAAGAAAAACAATGAATGAAACATGTTCTAAGACTTTTAAAGAGTTCTATCAAGATATTGGGACAAAGTAGGGTGAAAGAAGGATTTATAAACTTGCAAAAAGTAGAGAAAAAAATATAAAAATTTGGATCAAGTTCGATGTAAGATGAAGGAAAAGTTTTGGTTTTGGATTAAAACATCAAAGACAGATGGGAGAAAGATTTCTGTAAACTGTTTATTGATGGACTGCAAATGGAAATATAGCTGGATTAAAAGTGCAATCAAATGATCTAAATTCGACATATTACCATATGATTCGAGTTAAAAAAGTATAAGAAGCTCTTAAAAAGATGAAAACTGATAAAGCAGTTGACCCCAATAATATTCCAATAGAAGTTTGGGAAAGTTTAGGAAAACAAGGACTAGAATGACTCACTAAGCTTTTTAATGAGATTTTGAAATCTAAAAATATGCCCAAGGAATGTAGGAAGAACAATGTGATTCCTATATATAAGAACAAAGGTGATATCTAAAAATTGTGCAAACTATAGAGAGATTAAACTTATGAGTCACACTAAGAAATTGGAGGAGAAGGTGATTGAACATAAAATACAAGAGGAAACTAAAATTGCAGAAAATCAATTTAGTTTTATGTTAGGAAGGTCTACAATAGAAGTTATATATCTTTCATTAAAGATGATGGAAAAATATCGCTACAAAAAAAATGACTTCCATATGATTTTTATTGACTTGAAAAAGATATGATGAGTAACAAGAGAAGTGTTATAGAAGACTTGAGAGGAAAAAAAAGTTCATATAACATATATTTAAGCTATTCAAGACATATATGAAAGGGGTAACTACATGTGTGAGAACTTCTAAAGATGTATCTAAGGACTTCCCAATAGAAATAGGTTTACCTCAAAGTTCCGCTTTGAACCATTACTTGTTTAATTTAATTTTAAATGTACTTACAAGTAATATACAAAAGATTATCCTTAAGTACATACTCTTTGCAGATGATATAGTGTTGGTTGAGGAATCGAAAGAAGAGGTTATCACTAAATTTGAGTTTTGCAGGAAAACTTTATTAGAATCTAAGGATTTTCGCTTGAGTAGATGTAAGACAAAGTATATACACTCTGAGTTTAGCATAAGTTGAGTAGATGTAAGACAAAGTATCATGTGTTAGAAGTTAAATTTAGAGATGATATTACACCACAAGCTTACAAATTCAGGTATTTGAGATCCATTATAAAAAATGATAGAGAAATTAACAAAGATGTTACTCATAAAATACAAGTTGAGTGGTTAAAGTGAAGAAAGATATCAAAGGTTATTTGTGATTGTAAAATACCTATCAAGTTAAAATGAAAATTTTACTGTACTGCAATAAATCAGTTATCCTACAAGGTAGTGAATGTTGGACCTTTAAAAAACAAAAGAAGAAAAAAATTGGAGAGACAAAAACGAGAATGCTAAGGCTCCACTTTGAACTGTATCTAAAGACTTCCCAATAAGAATAAGTTTACATCAAAGTTCTGCTTTGAGCCCTTATTTGTTTAATCTAATCTTATAGAATCTAAGGTTTTTTGCTTGAGTAAAAGTAAGACAGAGTATATGCATTGTAAGTTTAGCAAAAAATAAAACAAGGATCATGCATTAGAAGTTAAAATTGGAGATGATATTATATCACAAGTTTTCAGTTTTAGGTATTTGATATTGATTTTATAGAATAATAGGGAAATTAATGAAGGTGTTACTCATAGAATACAAGTTAGGTGGTTAAAGTGGAAAAAGACATCAGAAGTTATTTGTGACCATAAAATAACTCTTTAAGCTGAAAAGAATGTTTTACCTTAGAGCAATACAACAAACTATCTTCTATGGTAGTGGATGTTGGAAACACATCCTACAACCAATTTAAGTCTAAAACTGTTATCTATGTTCCCTGGTAGTACTCTCACATTCTACAATATGACATGGCATATTACCCAGACTTTAACCAATGGTTTAACATTGAAAACCACCATGCATGTATTTTAAAATTATAATACTATTGGCAAAAGGGGAAAAGTGTATTTCTTAAAAGATCATAGATCACTCACCAATTCAATCAAAGATTTATTCAACTTTGCATATTGAGGACCCATCCGTTGATTCAATTCAGACAGTAAAAAGGTGGGCTCTGGATCCAAGAAACTAAGAACAAAATGAGGTTAGAATTTAAATGAATCAAGTGGTGAAAACAAATTTGGGAAAGAAACTTAGTAACGGTGATTACTCTTCAAGATCCTTTTTGTTAGTCACAAGGTCCATTTTTGAGAGGATATTAACATGAGGTAGTTCAAGTTGAACCATTGCAGAAAGGCAAGCCATGCATCCACTTATAAATTTGGTCACATCTGTCATGAACTGAAATGTTTTAAAATTATTAGAGTCAACAAAGATAATAATACAATAACTGCAAGTCTACACGAATGTGAGAGAATCAATAGCTTGAAAGGAAATATGATTTAAGCATACTATATCACAAACCTGTGAATCTAGCAAGTACACAGCACAAACATTAAAATTTTTCCGTTTCAAATGTTCCACAAAATTTTTAAGCACTGGCACATGTGAATAAAGTTCTATCTGACCTGCAAATCATTACAAGGTAAAGTTAATTGATAACAATTTATTAGAATTGAGAAGCAAGAGAGAATAGAAAGAGAAAAGTGTTTACCAATATAAAATTAGATACAAAGGAAGTTTATAAATACAACCAAGTGGCTTGCTATGCAAGCTATTGGTAGTTAACTAACTACTTAACAGTTCATACAAACCAATATTGTCAAGATCGGGATCTTACCTAGTATTGGAAGAGGGGTAAAAAATCGTAAATCGTGGGATCGTAAGATAGATCGTAAGATCCTTCAAAAAGTGTAAAATTATACTTAAAACATATGTATAAACTGAGAAAATTACATAGATAAAAAGTTAATGTCTAAATTACCTAATTTAGTTAAATATAAACTTAAAAATCCTATATTTAAGATTCAATATAACACAATTGGTTAAACTATCCATGCTAAGGTGAGAGAACACATAATAGAAAATAAATAGAAGAATATTTTTTTAAAAATTAAAAAGATCAACAAGTTATCCAACTTATAATACTTTGCAATAAATAATATTAAAGTATTAGCTCTAGTTAACAGTGTTTAGATTTATAGTTAAATACGTGAAACTTAGATGCTTATAATGTTTAATAGGTTTTTTATAAAAATGATATTCATTAATTTTTAAAAAAATATTAGAAAAAATAATTTTATACCATTTTACATATAAGTTAATGTCTTATAACACTATTTTATTTTAATATATAATATATTATTAATAAAATTGAAAATTAATTTTAATAAAATTATTTTTAGGTAGTAACACTATTAAAATGTTTATTTAAATTAACCTCACTCACAGGTTTATATTGAAAGGTGTATTTATTACAAGACATAAAAATTCATCTCTACTGGAAAACAAAACTGAAACAGTAGCTCATGATATATCTAGAGAATAGAAAACACCCAGAAAACGTGAACCACCAATTGAAACAGGCAAACAGCAGCTCAAGAAACACCAAAAAAGAAAACGCGAACCACCCACACAGAGAATGGAAGGATGGGTGTCGCAGAATAGAGAAAATGGAAGGATGTCGAGGAAGAGAGAATGGGCGTTGCGGAAGAGAGAGTAGGAAAGAATTTGGGGAAAATAACCTAAATAGGTTTTTTAAAACCGGGTTAGAAAAATCCGACCCGGAAACCCAACCCCCCAGAAGCCCAACCCAAAAACCCTGCCCCTGTGATCGAATCGGATCGGAGATCCTGCGATCCTGACAGAAAAGATCGGGATCTCATCCGATCTTCCATATAAGCGATCCCAAGTTCGATTAAGATCATCCAAGGGGTATAAGATCGTAAAATTGTACGATCCTGCGATTTTAACAACAATGATACTAACTGTCCAGCTGTCAGATAAGAGACTGACAGATCAGAAAGCAGTCACTATTCCAGAGCCTGGACAAAGCTCAAAGCACTGAGACTGCAATTTCAGATTCTATAACATAATTTCTCAAGTCAATTGTGACCACTGAACTTTATAAACAATTTTAAGATAATTTTTTAGGCTACCCAACTGGCCATTCAAACTGTTTTTCTCTAAGCAGACAAATTTTATTATTAGCATTGTACCACTGATTTTGATTTTGTGGCCTTCATACTCATGTTGCTTTTTATAACAAATTAACAACATTATCATCTTACAGTGACAACAACAACAATTACTAAGAATTATCCTATTATGTAAAATCAGCTACATGGATCATATAACATCAGTGAATTTAGTTAAAAACCAAATTCTCAAAAATATTATTTATCACTAGATCTCTTTTAATAATTTTTTCTAAAGTTTTTCTAGGTTGCTATCTACCCCTTTTAACCAACTTAAAAGTTGTGCCATCTACTCTCTTCACTGTTGCCTCCAGTGGCCTTTTTTGAACATGACCAAATCACATTAAACAATTTCTACCATCTTTTCTACCACAAGTGTTACTCCTTGCATATACAATTATTTCTTATTTCGTCCTTTCTTATGTGACTACTCATCCATGTTAACATTCTGATTTCTTATACTATCACTTTTTTTTGTGTAATTCCTTTAAGGCTCAACATTCACTATCATATAGGATAATTGGTCATATAGTAGTTCAATAAATATTTTTTTTCAACTTGATAGATACATTACAATTACAAATATATATTTTCAAATTAACAACATTATCATCTTGCAATAACATTCTCAAAATTTCAATCTTCGGATACCAGTACATATTGCATTCACATATAAAATAAAAAAAGGTAAAGAGAAGAGCATGAATACCAGGGCAATCAAAAACCAAGTAATCATCATCTAGATAATTGTCCAGTTCCTCAGTGAGCCAATCATCTAGGTTATCTTCAAGATGTCTAAATATGATCATTAAGGGAACGAAATTTGAAACTAATTTTTTAAATAGCTAATATATATATATATATATAAGGGTAGGATCTTCTTACACTGGTATAAGTCTAAAAACTCTTACACCCAATCTGAACCTTTCATTTAACTTATATCTAACGGCCAGTGAAGTAATAAATTATAATCCGTTAGATGTAAGTTAAATGAAAAGTTCAGATTGGGTATAAGAGTTTTTAGACTTATACCTGTGTAAAAAGATCCTTCTCCATATATATATATATGGAAAATGAGAGAAGTGAAGAAATACATTGAGATAAACTGTCCTGCTAAACATAATCTCTACTTATAACATCAGCCTGAGATAAACAATGATGTAGAATTTCTGATTCAAAGAAGGGTTGTAAAGAAGATACACAACAGAAAATTTAAAATTAAAATTAAAAAAAAAAAAAAAGGATACTCCATGCAGTACATAAGACCACCATTAGGACCCAATCCAAGTTCCTCCATAACATCATCCAAGGAAATAAGTTCCCTTATATCTGTAAGCAACAATAGTTAAGCTTCAGAACACACGTACCCCAAAGCCACAAAAGAGAAAAACACACAACGTTTTTGGTTTACCCATCGCAACAGGATAGTTAAAATTTTCAGCAGCAGGATCCAGGTTCACAATATGTATTGTCCGCCGCGCAGCTACACAGTGTTCATACAAACTCGAGCAATACGTAGACTAACAGAGAAAAAGAAAATGCACACAAATAAGTATCTCACCATTTACTTGAGAGCATTGTAAACAAAGCAAGTGCCAAATACATATCCAGCAAGGTTTCAAATTACAATCCACAAATACAATTGCAGCGAGGTTTCTGCATCACAATTGTGGCTGAACCAGCCGCACTTGCCCCAAATTTTCACAAATTCAATAATCACAATGCAACCGCAATCTCAAACCTTGACATCTAGTCAACACATTCAATGAGGATGATACAATAAAATTACCTTGCCACTACCAGCAGGTCCTATAACAAGTTGTGCATAACCCATGGTAGATAATCAAATTGCAAGAAAAACCCTTCCAAAGCTTCAGAAAGTGCAAAGATAATTGACGGCGCGAAAGGAAGCGAGAACTGCAACGGTAATGTAAGCAGTGCACCAAACAGCCACGGCCAACAACAAATTTATGACATCAGTGTATGCCATAAACCAAAGGGACCCAACACAGAGACACACAGTACAACAAAACCTGAACATTAGCGAATATCAAACCCCAACAATGAAATAACAACACCAACAACAACAATAACAACAATAACAACAACAACAACAACAATAACAACAACAAAAACACGCGTCGTTTCCTAGTTCATCTTTTGTAATGGAAGCGCTATCAATCCATAAACTCAGATACAGTAGAAATTGAAGCCCAATAACATAACCCAAATATTTAATTTAAAAAAGATATGGGAGACAAAAAAAAATGGTGGCATACCGAGTTTTCAAAGGGAGGAGATTGAATGAGCTTTGATCATAACAGTAGAGAGAGAGAAAGAGAGAAAACAAATGGACCTGCGAGCTGCGTGGGCAAGGGTGGTGGGTTTTGAAGATTCTGTGTGTTAGTCTCAGACTCTCAGTCTCAAGTTAGGGCTCGATTGTTTGACGTAGCGAAGTGCAAGTTGACCGCTGAAGTGGAAAAGTTCTCCAATTCCCACTGTTGTCGCATTTAATCTCTTGTTCTGTTTTTGTCGCATCCAATCTCTTACTGTTCTGTTCTGTTACTGTCTTGGTCGCATTTTATCTCTTAGTAAGGATTTTATTTTAAAATAAATATAAAAAATCAAAATGTATCATAAAGATATGAAAATATAAAAATTTAAACTTTTGTATTATTTATAAACTAATCAAATATAATATATTAATAAAAATTATATCAACTATGATACATATTTTTACAAAAATGTAATTTATAAATACATTAATGTTGAATTAGCAAAAAATATATATATTAATGTTAAAAGAATTCAATTTTTTTTATTTTTAAATATAATTTTTTATTTTCAGTTTTTAAAAACTGAAAAACAGAATTACTATTTAGATATTTTTATTTTTCTGTTTCTTTTTTAAAATTAATAAAAATTTAACTAAAAAAATTTTAAAAATAAATTATGAAATAATTTTTTTTGTAAAAATAATATTATAAAATTATTTTAAAATATAATTTTTAAAAATTATAAATCAAAAATAATCTTAAATTAGAGTAACTTCTAACGGTGGATCGACCTAAACAATAGTATATATATTGCGATAAATAGAGAAGAATAAAACAAACTCAAATATTAAAATAAATTTGTTATGATTCACTAAAGCTTTAGAAGATTAATAGAAAAAAAATGCTTTAGAAGATTATAAGAAAATATTTAAGAATAATATAAAAATTTTAAAATAAATAAATAAATAAAAGTGATCGATTTTTGCATTTTATAATAAGAAAATATGTTTTTTTCATGAAATTAAAAATATGTAATCACTAAAAATTTTGATTAAAAGTATTGCAAAAAACATATTAAATATTACAAATTTTATAAATGTAAATGTGAGTATTTATAAGAAATTTGAAGCTTATAAAAAAAATAAAGATAATTTTATAAATATAAACATACGTATTTATAAGATATTTGAAAGTTTATATAAGACAATAAAAAATAAAATAAAATGACAACTTTAATTTTAAAATTTAAAATGAAATTAAAAAAATGGATAAAAGAAAAATCATTATAGCTACATCATTCTTAGATAATTTTAATCATAAAATACATATATGGCAAATTGTAAACGAAAATCTACTAAATACTTTATTTTTAAAATAAAATCTCATTTATATTACAAAGGTTAATTTTTAAAAATATTTATTTTAATATTTTTATAAAAAACAATAAAAATATAATTAATAACTAAAATAAATAATATTTATAAATTAAAGACTATAACAAGAATTCATTTAATTTACTTCAATTATATTTCGTGAATCTTGACTACATTTTAATCAATAATTATGAATATTTTAAAAAAAGTTTGTTAAAGAATATGATATTAAATTTTTTCATAATCAATTTTTATATATAAATTATAAATATTAACTTTTCTTGTAATTAATTTTTAACTCAATTATCTCTTGAATGAACAATTAAGTTAGGTTGAAAGTTAAATTTTTTTTCATTAAAATGGTTGATTACCTTATGTCAATTACTTTTGCAAATTATGAATATATAACCATAAATTTACGTATTATATAATTTTTATTTAAGGGTTGGGTTATGCTAAAAGAGCATATCCTATGTCTCTACAAAATAAGAAAAACTTGAAATTTATCTTTCTAATAAATCTCTAAGATCTCATAAGCTCCCTTGCGACAAAGAAGAAGATTCAAGAGCTAGTGTTAGTAATTTGTTTAAAGTAAAAGATAGAAAACTTTGTGTGGAATTATACATATAAATACATGACTTATCACCAAAGAACATGTTATTTTGTCACTTAAGACTTCTGCAGAGCTTCTCCTTCAAGTATGTATTATCATAGAATAACATCTTACAAATTCAAATCGCTCTGTGTAACATCTTCAAATTTATTAATTTATTTTTCTTTAATATTAAAGTAAGAAAGAAATTTTTCTTTAATCTAAATTATATAGATCCTTAGAATTAAATTACCAAATAATTAATATGATTTAATTCTTGAATTTCTTGATGATTAATGACCTTATTAATAATAGGAAGACCAAAAAAAAATGTATTAATTTAGTTAGGCTTTGAATTCTAAATTTGTAGCAAGAACTTACACGAATTTAAAGAGAAAAATTCAAATAAGGGAGCTAAGGTAATTTGAAACCAATTGGATGAACAAGGTTTATCCAAATTGGTGTGAGAATTGCTTAGAAATTTTTTATGAAATTAGACAATTATGCTAAGAGTAAAATAGTAATAACTAAAGAGTAATGATTTAGGCTAAGAAATATGTCGGACATCAACGAATAAAATAATTAACATGAGAGAATGTACTTTAGTGTAAAAATATAAGTCATTAATGGAAGATATATACTTTGTTATAAAAAAAATGCAATTATGACTAAATAATATGCCATAGAATCTAGGAATAAGTTATAATTAAAAAGGTATATGTCAAGGAATTAAAGAATCAATTCATTAGTTAAAATTAGTTTTTAGACTTAAATCTTAGGTAGAATCAAATAAGGATTGTTCAAATTAGATTGAAATTAACTTTAACGAAGTGATATTAAGTTTAGAAATTGTAAAATAAGGATTGAGAATTAATTAAGGAGTTTGGGAAAAATTTTAATTTGGTTTAAGTAGAAGTTAAATATGAATCTATCGATAATAGTAGCTTATAAGATCTAAAGGTTAGGAAATTGAATTAACATCTAAGCTTGGAGAAAGGAATTGAAATCAAGACTTGGCGAGGCTATCAAAAGTGATGTAAGATCAAGAGAGAACTTAGTCAAAACTAGAAACCAAAATTTTATAAATTAATATAATTGATCTAAGAGGAAGCCAAAATGACTTAATGCCCAGAAATCTAATATCTAAGCAATGATGTGAGATTAAGGGAAGACTTGGTCAAAATAGGAGCAATTGAACTGTAAGCAAAAGATAAGGTAAAGTGTTCAAATAGTCATGACTCACCCAATGGATAAGAAACAATTATGAATGAAGAAACTATAAATAAGCAAGGTGTAAACTTAGAAGGATTAGGCATTGAAAGCATTAAATACAAGTAAGGAAAAATCCTAACCAAGTGACTTGTAAGTGAATTAGAAGCAAATAAGAAAGCTAGATTGCCATAAAAACTTAGGGAGATGTATTGATTTAGGATTTCATAGGATTTTAAAGATTATTTATTAGTAAAAAAGTCTGTTGGTATTTAATCAGGATTTTATTTCACTGAAAAATAATTAAGTGGTATTCAATTTGGATTATCAAGATTTTTTAAAGAGCTCATTAAAATCTATTGGTATTCATTTGAGACTTTTTACAATTTAAAAACAATCTATTAGTATTAAAAAATATAAGAATTTTAAAGGATTGTTATATTAGAGGAATTTTGAAGGACTTTTTAGTGGTATCTATAAATACTAAATTCATAAAAAAATTCCATTCAAACCTATCAGATTTTGGAGGATTGTTTGAAGTGACTTTTCAAGTGCTTCAAGAATTTTCAGGTGAGTTTTTCATCTTCTTTTTTTATGCTCCTGTCTTCTCCATTTTTTCTCTGCTAATAATACTGCACTACTGCTCATATATAATAATGTACTACTATTCTCATTCCATTCACCTATTTGGTGAAAAGTAAATGACAATGTCATTTACTTGCTTTATTTTGCTCTATTTTGCTCTATTTAGTTTTGTTCCTCAGATATATAACACAGAAAAAACTTGAAATTTTAACTTTTAAGTAGTAATTTTTTTATAACACACGTCAAGAAAAAGAAAAGATGAAAGCTGAAATTGATATCATGAATAAGTTCTCCCCATCCTTCACGGGTATTCCTTTGTGAAATGGTGGAACCAATCCATTATAACTATGAATCTCTGTGAATATCTGCTCTTGAAATGAGTATATCATTCTTTTACTGGAGAAGGAAAAATCTCTTCTCTTGGTCCAAAGAAGTCCCACCATTGTAAGAACCAATTTGGAAAATCATTATTTTGATTCTTTTTGAAATAAATTAACCAAGAGTGTCGATTAAGCTTATTTTGAAACTAAAAAACTCTGATCCAAGCATCAATATAATCTCAAGAGTTGCAACCTACTGGGTCAAAGGGTTGGGAGAATTTTTTATACGAATTTAAATTTTTTCCAAAATTCTTTGAACTTATTACTTTGAGAATTTGTATGGTTGAATGGGTGATGATGGATGGATCCTTTTGATCCTTGTAATGTTTAATGGAAACAGAATCTAAATCCACTAGGATGAATTCGTAGAATTATCTGGTTTTATTTATAGCATAAAGTCTGAAATGAAAACCAAGAGAGAAGACTTTAGAAATAGCTTTGTAAGAATTTTTATCTCAAAATTCAAGTTTCATATGTAATACTGAGGAAAATTTTCCTTTAGAAAGATAGTGTGATGGATTTTGGGGCTTTTGTTTTTGTTTATCTTTTTGGGGAGTAACAGCTTTACTGGTTTCTCCAGGGAGGCTAACTGTTTGGGTCAAGGATTGGACAATGGTGTTTAGGCTTGTTAATTCTAATTCCATTTTGTCTTCAGAGGCAATATCTGCCCAGGATTTTTTAGGTAAACTACTCAAGCTTCCTTGTTGGATGGTTAAGAGTGTACTAATGGGTAAAGCATAATCTACTTTTGTTTGTTTGGATATTTTGGATTGGAATTGAGAAGAGTCGACCTTGTTGCTTGATTCTTTTTTAGGAATTCCAGATTGTTGGGTAGATGACTTAACAATTTGGATAGCTTTCTAGGTTGATGACCCAGCCGGACTAGATGATCCTGAAGATTCTAATTGTGAGTCTGCTGAGACAGACTTTGCTTTTGCTTTATTAAGATTCAGAGCTAATCTGACTCTTCCTTTGAAAGTTCCTCCACCCCTTGAAGGGGCTATGGCCTTTCTAAGCATTTCACTTGTCTTGTAA